GGACCTAAATCTTTGTTAGGGTAACTGGTCAGGAAACTATCAACTGAGTTATTCTCAAAAAAACAGGTCAGACTCCTTTTGGTAGCCTGACGTAGTCCTACTCAATTCTAGTCAGAATATGAGTCTGATACTGCTCCATAGAGCTGTGATTATGGAGCGTGTTTCGAACGAACCAGGAAAAAAAATGCCTCTGCACTCAATTGGATAGACCTACAACCAATAAGAGCAACGGAGTGCGTGACGTATGTTACGCCAGGCACAGTTGTTGTCAACAAAAATCAAAGCGTGCAGTTGCACGCCTAGAATAAGAAGATGAGCCTTGATCGCGTTTCTTTGTTCCTCTTTTAAAATTAATTTGCTGTCGATATCTTCTAGAACAGACCTAATAGCAGAATCTACTCACCTCAACTCTCCAGCGGCAGCCATTGTTGTTGTCACCCAAGCGCGCTTTGGTGACGTGGTTGATTACGTTACTGTTGATCATCTGTCCATCATCGTATAAAGCCCCCCCTGACAATTTGATTGGCCCGCCAGATATTGTGCAAGCATACTCGCGCTGCTACTGAGCAATGCCAGACCGAACCTCCCGACCTCAAACGTTGTGGGTGGGACTAAGTTCGGAATGGCACCCAGGCTAACTTTTTGGGGCCACAGGTCATTTTTATTTGTTCAATTGTGCTTTTCTATTTGGTCAAAATACAAAATGCCACAGGAAAATAATGTTTGGGCATTACCAGACAACACATCTGACTGAGTAGTAAAACTATTTGGGCTCCAAATAAACTTGACTGCAGCAGATGTCTTTTACAAAATGCCACCATATTATCACACCTCACACATACGTCACATGTGTGCCACTGGTACAGAATCCTTTCAACTGTAACTAATATCCTTAAACGTAAAATTACTTTATCTTAGTCTACTGTCTACTGTCTGCACTGATAATGATTCTTTCTCTTTTGATGCTTCAAACTAAAAGGGAAAATGGTAGATTAACTATTTGACCACATTGATGCACTCATAGCTATGGTTGCAATAGAGGAGTGCAGCTGAGTTAGTTTTCCCAGTAGAAAACTGGTTCAGAACCAGAGGCCCTTTAGCTATTAACATAAATGGTTAATAACATTTATTTTCAAAAAAGACTAAGAAGAAATATTAAGGGTTGATATTTAAATGTGTAGTGGTAGATTTTTGCGAATTTTTTAAAAGACCCGCCCTCTCCACTTAAAAAAAAAAAAAAAGCACATGCACAACCCTGCACCTGCTCCTGAGAGGGAATGCTTATGAGAGCATGCAGGAGCCCATTGCTCCTCATGCACGCTGTGTTTAAAAGTTGCTGCTTGCATCGCTCATACAAGCTTAATTTCTAAAAGAAGATTTGCAAATTTTCCATTATGTCAGACTGCTAAGTGAAAATGGGGATGAGAACATAGGATGGCCTTACGTAAACATATCACCAGAATGATTGACAATTAGGAGGACCATTTATTTCGATGATTCATCCGGAAAAAGAACATCCTCCACTATACCTTTAAGTTGCATAAAAATTTTTTTGTTTTTATTTCTAAATGTCCTTTTCATTTATTGAGTTGGCCAAAAAAAGAAAAAAAAAAACATATTAGACGGGGACAGAACTTTAGACGGGGTCCTCAATTCCAGTTCTCAAGGCGTGGTGTCCTGAACCTTTTAAAGGTTTCTCTCTGCTTTCACACCTGAATCAAATGGCTGAATTACCTCCTCAGTACATGTCTATACATGTAACAAGCGTTCCATCAGATTAAGTCAGTTGAAATCAGAGGTGTGTCTGATTTTCTGGAAACGCTTTAGTAGTAAACAACCCTGTATCTGTCCTCTCATTATCAACTTTAGCTACTCATTGCACCTTCTCTTCATACCTCTTTCTTCAGTTGTGTCTGTTAATGTGTTTTTTTTCCATTATGGAGTTTCATTGTATCTTTGTATCCATAGTTTTGAATGGGGTGGTAAGTTTAGTTACTTAAATGTGGAGGTGATTCCTTACCTGACTGTTTTCTACAAACAGATTTTTTTCATCAAAAACTGTCAAAATGATCACCAAATCACCATGATCTACCAAATGATTATCAAACTAAAACAACCAGATTAATGCCCTTAATACCAAACACAGTTTATGCACCTACAAACACCATGAGGCCACATTCTTTGGTGTTCCTGGTGAAGATTTTTACAAACCCTTTAGATCAATGTCTTTTATTGGAGCAAACAAAACATGGAAGAACCTTTGGAACAACCTACCCTTTAATTCAAGCACATTCACCATCACCATTCACCTTTATTTATTTTACTTACAGAGTATATTTTTTTGCTTATTTTTTTTAAATCTTTTATTTGTAAACAGCTCCATTTTGTGTGTTTTTTTTAAAATATTTTTTTAGAAATAAAAGATTGCAAATGCGCTCCAGCTCTACCTTCCATGTTTACTTCTGTAAACATAGAACACGCTCCCTTGTGACAATTAAGTTGAATGAATTCAGTTCACACAGAAGATTACATATTTGGAAATGAGATCAACCACGCAAAAGAATCAGATTTCCTAAAAAAACTCAGAACTGTGCGTTAATGCCTGCAGTGTGAACGTAGCATTAAACGTGTTCATCCAGACATGACAATGGCCGAGGTTCCAGAAGTTCATTTAAAGCTGCTTAATTTATTCCAAAACCAGTTTAAATGTGAGTTTAGGATCATCAATCCATTTAAATCCATTTTCCCCTTTTCTTTTGATAGAATATAGAGCCGGAAACATTAACTAGTTGGTTTCTGCTAAACGGAGTGAGCAATGCAACCCTGAGGGACCAAGTATGGTAGAGATATAAAGGTATAGTTTAAAGAAGAGAAAATCACCTGAAAACGTATTAGTTTTCTTTATTCAAATTAACCAAAGCTGTTTGCCTTTGGGTTCACTAAACATTTAGTTCCTGCTATCTTCATAGTTGATTTAATTTTTTACTGTTTTATTTTAACTTTAATCTTTAATTATCCTCCCATATTTGTTTGTTTTTCTTTGTGTGGCTCAGTGTTGATGTGTCCCTTCTGCTCTGCTGCTTAACTCCCAGATTGTCTATAAGGTCAATAAAATGAGAAGAACTGCAGGAGGAACGTCTCACTGTCCTTTTTTTTTTAGAGCTAATTTGTTTTGACACTGCAAGGTGACAAGAACAATTGTTCTATTAACATAAGCTGTCAGGTCAGACCCCCCAACAGGGAAACAATAATAACCACGAATCTGCCAAAGCGCTGTACTATAGTAATATTAGGACTCTTGCTCCATTTGACTTCAGTTTGGTTTATTTATAAAGAATCAATTTACAACCACTTATTTCAAGACACTTTACCAGAAAATACAAACAGATCCTGTTCACATTACTGCAATCAAA